AGCATCATTAAAAGTCAAATCGGCATAGTCATACGTGTTGTCCTTATCCTTCTATTATTATCCAGTATTTACAAGTTATCAATTTTAGATATGATTATAGTAATAAGTTCTATTTTATTTATGATTATAGTAGTTTTTAATGCTCAATTTTAGTTTTCAACATTAATTATAATTATAGTAAATGTTTTCAACTTAAATATAATATGTTAATACTTTAAATATGTTATATTAATAAGTTACGATTCTAGTAATGAATTTTTGAGGATTATATTAACAAGTTTGTAATTTTCAATTTAAAAATATTATTTATAATAACTTGAGCAGCAGCGGAAATAAAACGGCCAAAAAGACTAACTGCCTCAACATAGTGAATTTGTGAGCTTTCGTCAAAAAAGACCATATCAGTACAGATCTAAATACTATTCATACACGTCTTTATAACCGTTAAAAATTTAGCTCAGGGTTTAGTTGAACATAAAATTTTCAGAAAAAAAATCTACAATTTTGCAAAAAAATTAAAAGAGCACATTTTAAATAAACATTTTAGATCTATTATTATTTAATATTATTTGCTAAACTTTTATTGAGACTTTTCTTGTTTAAAATTTTATAAGAATTTTTTTAATAAATCCTATTTTTTAAATTTTTCGTAACAAATAGTGCTATATAACAAATAGTAATATATCTTTAGATAGTATTATACATATAACAAATATTAATATATATTCAGAAAGCCATATCATTAACTTCAGTGTATTAATAAGACTAAAAAATTCATTCCAAAATTTTTTAAATATTATGTTGATAAACGTTTAATTAATTTTATATAAATATTTATAATTATTTTAAATAAAATAATTATTTGTAGTTGTTTTCTTTTTAATCTTAAATAAAAATAATCGTTTTTTTTTGGAATGGAGGGAAAGGGCAAACCTCCTTCTCCATGAAAAAACATTAGAAGATTGTATGAAATTATTCTTCTTTATATTATCTAACTTTATTTTTATACAGCCCGATCTTTCCTTTTTTTATACAGCCCGATCTTTCCTTTTTCTTTGCTAAATATTTCTTAAATTTTACTTAGAGTTTTTTTATATTTTATTCGTAAATACTAAAATTGTCCACTGAATCCATGAATTATAGTCCACTCACTGATGGGAAAATTATTAAAAAATAAAACTATTTATAATCGAATATTTTGATAAATTGGGTTTTTAAAAAATCTTTTTAATTGTTTTTTAAATTCCATGTTTTACTAAAATGAAATCTTTTAATTAAAATCTAATTTTTAATTAAACTGCATTAGAATAAAGGTTTGAATGCTAATTAGTTGAATTCTTTAAATTTATTTATACTATTTTTCTCAAAAATTCTTAAAATTAGAATTTAATTTCTCATACTTAAATAATTAAACATTATATATTTTTAGTATTTTTTGCATATAAAATTAGTGATAATTATAAATTAATAGGTATGTATTTTAATTAGTTAATTGTTAAGTTATTAGTTAAGTAATTGTTAAGTAGTTTTCCTTATTTAGTTTTATTTTTATTTCTTAATGTATTTTTTAGTGATTTTTTACAATTGTTTTTCTCATAATAATTGTTTGTTACACAATCTTGAAGTTATTTTTTGATACATTTATTTGTCACTTTTTTTACTTTTTTCTTATTAATTTTTATTTCTTAATGTATTTTTAGTGATTTTTTACAATTGTTTTTTTCATTTAATTGTTTGTTACAAAACCTTTAAGTTATTTTTTGATACATTTATTTGTCACATATTTAAGTTTTTACTTCTTAATTTTTATTTTTGAAATTAACCTTTTTTTCCTAGTTTTTTCTCACCTTATTAATAGAGTTCGAACTTTTCAAAATGCCGGGCCCGGGACCCGGGTTTTTTTTCTCAAAATCGCACCCGCACCGGTTTTTCCGGATAAAACCGGAAAAACCGGTTAGCCCGGAAAAACCGGATTTTTTCAGACCCGGGCCCGGACCCGGTTTTTTCTAAATTTATTAAAAACGTAAAAAATTTATCACACATACTAAGGATCGGAAAACATACAAAGGATCGATTAAAGAATAGATGAATCAAAGGATAGATGCGCTAAAGTATATATAGCAGGGGTGTCCGCAAGTGAAAAAAATTTTCCGCAGCCGCAATCCGCAATTTTAATTTTATGAATTTGAAGGGATTCATAGTAATTCCAAATATAATAATATCCCCCTTAATCCTCCGATTTCCTCTTCAAGTCCGACTTTTCACCTAAATCCACTGATGGTGATTAATAGGGATATCGAGAAATTTGAGTTAATCCTCCGATATCAATAAAAATCCCTTTTCTCTTTTCAAGCGCCGCGGGTGAAAATTTTTAGAATTTTGGAAGGCCAAGGAGCAAAATTTCTTCTTTTTTCAGCGCCGCAGGCGAAAATTTTTAAAATTTCGAAAGGCCAAGAGGCCAGATTTCTTCCTTTTTCACCGCCGGAGGCGACTCTCCGGGCCCGGCAAAAAATTACCGGGCCCGGGACCCGGTTTTTTTACTCAAAATCGCACCCGGGCCGGTTTTTCCGGATAAAACTGGAAAAACCGGTTAGCCCGGAAAAACCGGATTTTCTCAAAAATACCCGGTTCCGGGCCACCGGGCCCGGAAAAAACTCGTCCGGGCCCGGCCCGGGTTCGAACTCTACTTATTAATCGTGTATTTATTTGTTTTGTTATTTTTTGTGATTTTTATTTTTTTACTCACTTTTCAGGATTGTTTCCATTTATGTCAGTTTTTATTTTTTCATTTGTTTGACGTTTTTTACGAGTATTTACTTTTTATTTTGGCTTTTATTTCGACCTGTTTTTTCATTTTATTATTACCCTTTTTTATCTACACTACTCTTTTATTTCACTTTAATTCCCTTTGATTAAAAATTTTATGCTTTTATAATATTTTGATACCCCCTATAATATTTTAACCCCCTGCGGCATTATATAAAAAATTTTTTTCAAGCCTATCTGAAAGCCCACTAAATTTGCTACAGAAAACACTTGGTCCCGTCCTTGAGAAAAAACTTATCATTGAGGCGACATCGGTTACATTTAAAAGTTAAAAATTATGATAATTTATGGGGTAATTTGAGTGAATTTGTTTATTTACTCCTTTAACCGATGGCGCCTCAATGGTAAGTTTTTTCTCAAAGATGGGACCAATTGTTTTTTGTAGCAAATTTAGTGGGCTTTCAGATAGGCTTGAAAGAAATTTTTTATATAATGCCTCAGGGGGTTAAAATATTTTGCGAAGTACTGTACCTTCGTTTTCCGTTGATCTTGAGGGTTTGAAATCTCAATGAAGAAGGCATCTATGGACTTCGTACTTTTTACATTTCTACTCGATATTGATGTAAATGTTTTTATAAATTTTTGTGGAATTTTTGGATAACTTATGGCACATTTAAAAAATTTTAATAAAGTTGCCGAATCTTTTTGAAGCACATGTTTTTTAGAAATTTTTTCATAAAAAATTTATACTGCAAAATTTTTTAAATTTTTTGTTTACACAAATATCTTTGGTCATTATTTATATATTTTTATAGTATTTACTAGAGATGTGCGAGACTCTTGGTCTTGGTCTTGGAACCAAGACTTTTCTTGGTTTTTTTTTCGGTCTTGGTCTTGGTCTTGGTCTTGGGGTGTATGTCTTGGTCTTGTCTTGGTTTTATTTTTTAATCTTGGGTTTTTGGCCTTATTGAACCTAGTGCTTGGCCATCCAAAATCCTCAAAATTTTCGCCTGCGGCGCAGAAAATGGAAGAATCTGGCTTCTTGAGCTCCAAAATTCAAAAAATTTTCGCCTGCGGCGCTGAAAATGTGTATTTTTTGGCCTACGGCCTTCCAAAATTTTCAAAATTTTTGCCTGCGGCGCTGGAAAAGGAAGATTTTTGGCTTCTTTGCTTTCATAATTCCCAAAATTTTCGCCTGCGGCGCTAAATCCCACGGCTATACCTCTTAATCTTTTGATATCACTAATATCTCGTTAATCCACCCAAACCCTCTGAAATAATAACCTATTTTATTGATTTTCCACAGAATAAATTCCCCGAAATTCTTTGAATTTCGCATAAATTTTTCGAAATTATAGATAATTGTGCTGAAGTTGACTGTGATCGTATCAAAATAACAAAAAATAAACCAAAAATTTGACCTATGGGATTTAAAAATTTGGTCTTGATTTTTGGTCTTGAGTCTTGGAGTTTTGGTCTTGGTCTTGTGTCTTGGTCTTGGAAAAAATTTTGTCTTGGGTCTTGAGTCTTGAGTCTTGGAAAAATTTCGGTCTCGCACATCTCTAGTAGCTAGTCATTGAAATTACCAATTTTATAAATTTAAAAATAATTTTAAACTAATGTTTATTTATTAAATGTTTAATTAAATAAATATATTAAATAATTACAATATATACTGAAATAATTGCCCTCTCTCAAATAATTACTCCCTCCCTAAAAATTACCCCCACTGGCGATAGATTGAAACAATAATTACCCGGGGTAATTATTTTAGTAAATACGGTAAGTCATTTAATTTGAAAATAATATTTTACTCAATTAAAAAATAAAATAACTTATAAATGTTTGGTTAGATTAAAATATTTTAATTAAAAAATTTTTTTTCAATAAAAAAATTTTTTTTTAATAAAAAAAATTCTAATAAAATAAATTCAAAAAATTATTTTAAAGGTGTTATAATAATAATGGTTAAATAAATTATTTTATAAATTAATTTTTAATGTTATTTTAATGCAAATATAATAAAGAGCTTCCGCTTATAATATTTAAAAATTTCAATTTTCAGCGAACAGCATGTTTAAAAAAAATTTTTTTTAATATGATAAAAATTTTTTAAATTTGAACAGATGTAAATTTAAAATTTTTAGCTATAGAATGTATTATATAAAAGAAATAAAATTATTGACAGATATATTCATTTAATTCAATTAAAAAATTCAAATAAATTCAAAAAAATGAAATTATTTAATTTTTTCTTTTTATTTAATTTAATTTTATTTTATTATTCTGTAAAATGTGATAATATAGCAATAATAAATTCTGATATTACTTATCAATCAATTGATGGTTTTGGTGGTTCTAGTGCTTGGTTAGGTAATATACCAGATAAAGGAATTGAAAATATTTTTGGAAAACTTGGTTTCTCAATTTTACGTATTGGAATTGTTGATATATGTAAAAATCAAAAATGGGGTAATTATCGTTGTATTGGACAAGAAGCATTAACAGCACAAAAAGCATCAAAATATGGAGTTAAAATTTTTGCTTCACCAAGTACTTCACCAATATCATTTAAAACAAATAATAATGAAGTTATGGGAGAACTTAAAGAAGATAAATATAATGATTATGTTGAATATTTACAATCTGCTGTTGATGAATTAAATAAAGTTGGAGTTAATTTATATGCAATATCATTACAAAGTGAACCTGATTTTTCACCATCATATGTATCAATTAAATGGTCACCAAAACAAATTGCTGCTTTTTTAAAATCGTATTCTAGAAAAATTAAAGGACCGAAAATTATGGCACCCGAATGTGCTCATTTTATACCTGAATATAATGATGCTATTTTGGTAAATTTATTTCTAAGGAGTTTATCGATCACGTTATGTTTATGATGGAATAAGGGGTGGAGAAAAAAATAAAACAATAAAGACCAGTTAGTTATAATCTTAAGCAAGTTAATGGAAAAGGGATTAGTTGCATTCAGTTAAGATAAGTTAGTCAAGTTTATAAGCCTGCAACATAACGTTAAAATAATATATAATTCTACATAATATGAACTATACTCTACTGCGTACTCGAACAGCATGAATTGCCTCTTAGGTACCACGCTATTATATTTAGTTTATTGGACAAAATCCTACATTCCTATACCATTTAATCTTATTATAGGCACAACACGAGCTCTTAATTATTTTTAAATAATTAATATCTTTATTAGAATGATCATGATGTAGCTAAAGGAGTTGATATAATAGCTTGGCATATGTATGGAATGCAACTAGTATCACAAACAAAAGCTCAACAAATGGGAAAATCAGCTTGGATGACAGAAAAAACAAATGATGGAAATGATTGGAAAAGTTTTATGGAAACAGCAAAAGATATACATGATTGCATGACTATAGCAAATTATAATGCTTATGTTTATTTTTGGTTTAAAGATCCAAAATATGTTTCAATTGTTGATAATAATTATGAAATAACATCAAGAGGATATATATTAGGACAATATGCAAAATATATAAGACCAGGATATTTTAGAATTAATGCTACTGAAAATCCAACAACAAATATTTATGTTAGTGCATATAAAGGAAAAGGACAAGTTATAATTGTTGCAATTAATATTGGATGGCCTGATAAAAATCAACAATTTTCTATTAAAGGAATTAAAGCATTCACTCCTATTATTACTGCTCCAAATAAAAATATGATAAATGGAACAAAGATTTTAGTTAAAAATGAAAGTTTTAATTATTTACTTCCAGCAATGAGTGTTGTTACTTTTGTTTCCGATAATTAAAATTATGATAAAAAAATATCCATATCTATATGTAAATATTAAAAAATATCTATATTAGTAAAGATTGTATTAATTAAATAATAAAAATTAATTATCAAATTTATTCTTTAATAATTCCTAAATTGATTTAAATAAATAATTAAATTTTTCTAATTTAAATTCTTCAATTTGTTTAATTATCTAAATAAAAAATAAATAATTTTTGTATTTAAATAAATAATCAATAATTTTGATTCTTTTATATAGTACATTCTATGTATAGATAAAAATTTTAACTTAACATTACATCTGTTTAAATTTAAAAAATTTTTAACATATTTAAAATAATTTTTTTTATTTTTTAAAACATGTTGTTCGCTGAATTTTTAAATATTATAAGCGGAAGCTCTTTTTTAATATTTGCATTAAAATAACATTAAAAAGAAGAAAGTGAACGTCGGGAGAAAGAAAGAAACTATATAGTGGGATTTTATCAAGATATCCCTCTTAATCCCCAAATGCCACAATGTCTCTTTAATCTCTCCAAATTTGCCTCTCTCTATTTTACTCAAAATCCTTTTATGTAACATAGAATGTCACCTTACAATTTAGTTCACCAATACCCGAATTTTTCGCCAAACCTGAAACCCGTACCCGAAATTTTTGCCAACCCGAAACCCTTGACCCGAAATGATAAGCTCCAACCCGATACACGAAACCCGTATTCGAAGATTTTTTGTACCAGCGGAAACTCTGCTATGGAGCAATAAAAATTTTATAAAGTTACTTTTCAAACCTTTTAAAGTTTAATATTGTTAAAAAATTACAATTTGTTATTTCAATTTACAAATTTTACTATTAAAATTGTTAAAATTTTTTGTATTAAATATTACTTTAGTATTGAATTATTTTTTACTAAAAATATAATCTATTTATTCATAATTTAATTATGGATTTTTTGTATAACCATCCACAGACAACTAGATTTTTTAAGGTTCTTATTATATTAAATGAAAAATTACCATTTCGTACATATTAACACGTCATGCTCTGACACCCGGTCCATGTGCTCAGCTCGTCCGAGATATAATCCTCCATCTTTTGTTTTCAAATTCTTTAAAAACATAGAAATGTCTTAGAGCTTTTGTTGGCTCCCAGGCTCCAGCTATTTCAAATCTTTTTAAATTAAAAAAATAACCAAATATAAATCATTTTTTTCCAGCTTTCTTATCTAGAATTGCCTCCACAACATATTCATCACCTGTAACATGGCTGATAAATGTTTATTAATTTTATTAATTATAATTAATGTTCAAAAAAGTAAAGATATTTTGATATCATTTATTTTTATTTATTGAATGGAGGCTATCAAAAATTTAAAAATTCAACATTTATTTATTAAATATTATTAAATTTGTTTTGACAAAATTTATTGAGATAAAAATTTATCAATTTTTTTAATTTATATAGCTATGCGTGCTTATTTTATTCTTTTTTGCTTTTCTTTATTGTCTAGTACAAAAGCTATTGAGCTATGTATAGCTTTTTAAAAGCGTGGTAAAAACATTAAATTCAATTTTAAATTAAGAGAAGGCATTTTATACAGTATCCTAACTTCGCATATTAAACAAAATAGTTTATTTAGAACAATTCTTCCAATTTATTTAATTGAATTATAATAAATGTTAATTAAAATATATCTTTATTTTTATTTTGAATTAATTAACTAAATGATTTTCATCCAAATACTATTGCAATATAAATTCTTTTTTATTCTTATAGATTATATTATATATTTTTTATATTAATTTACAATTTTAATGACTAAACACACAGCAGTTTTAAGAAAAAAAGCTATTACTATTTTTTGCTTTGAATCTATATTTATTTATCAAAAACTCTGTTTATAAATTTTATATATTTAAACTATACTTAATTTTTAATAATGAATTTGTTTTAATCCTATATTTTTTTACCTATTTCCACTTTAAAACAGGATCTTTTAAGAGCTGCCGAACACTAAAAGATAAGAGCAAAATAATTAATCGAAGTGAGGCCTCTTTTTCCAGTAGAAAATTTTCAATAAAATTATTAAAATTTTTAATTCCGATTTTTTAGAAAGGCATATAATTTTGTTTTGAATTTTGAGGTTCTATGCAAATTGCATCGATTGTGAAAAAGTATAATTTTCAAAAACCCATTCAGCCTATGTGATTAATATTCTAAATTAATTTAAAATGTTCTTATTAATAGACAATTTTTTAAATAAATATGCTACCTTACTCACAATTCTTATTTGCATATTATTTATTTAAATTTCGCTAAATAAGATATCTTTTAAATATTTTAGCCTATTAAAATATTTTAGCATAAATATTTTAGCTTAGTTATGTACAAATTATTTTTTATATTTAAATTAATGAACATTGAGTCTTTTTTAAATTTTTAAATAAAACATCTTATGGTGTATTTAAATACAATTTCTTGTTTTTTCATTATTTTTATACCAGGATAGACAGATTTTTTAATAAAATTATGTAAAAATTTTACAAATTTTCAAAAAGTTCCTTTAAAATTTTCAATGGAATTGGGGAAAGAGAGATAAGTTATGGTTTAATAAAGAGTATGAAAATGTTTGAATGAGCCGTTTAACAACGCTAACATTACATAGGGACAGAGAATAAAAGTATAATTTTACAAATTCCTAAAAAATTTTTTAGAATATTTAGTATGATAAAAAACTAAAACTTTCAGTGCAAATATTAATTATTGTCTTCGAATTTGCTTAAATTAATATTTAACGTAAAATTTGTACTTGCAAATCTTTCATAACATATGTCGCTTTGACTTCGAGCACAACTCATCAATTTCTTTCATTTTATTCCATTTTCTTATACTAAAATTATAGAATATTTTTTAAATAAATTTTTAAATAATAATAATATGTGCATAAATCTAAAATGTATGTATAATAATTATAATAATAACATCTCATATTATAAATTTATCTTTTAAGCTATTTGGATATTCGAATTTTACAAATAACTAGATAGCTCATCAGATAGATTAAATTTTGATTAAAATTTAACTTTAATAATCAAAATATTAACTTTAATAATCAAGTATAAAATCGAATTTTTTATACATGCTGTAAACTATACATATATTATTTCGAATTTGCTTTTAAGCAGGAATTGAATTGTAGTAGGTATTGAATTGTTTACTTAGCTATTTTATAGATATTTCGTATATTTTCATATTAATAAGTTCTTATAAACGGAATAATACTATTTTAACTATATTTAGTGATTTTAATCTTTTAACCTATGTGAGAAAGCATACACATTTTTTAGTGTTTTGAAGTTTTTGAGTGTTTACTATTTAATTTTATTATGTCATAGGAATATATTTTTCAATACTTCCATTTTTAAATTCAATTTATTTTATTCAATTTATTTTATTATCAATTTATTTTATTATCTATGCAATTTTCAATTTCAATAATTTCTAGTACAAATCTAAATTTTTTTGACTTATTGAGTAAATTATTCTAAATGATTATATTAATTACTATTTCTTTGGTTATAATAACATTTAGCATAAAATATTTTATGCCTGTGTTATTTTTAAAGAATTTAGCATTAATTTATTTATAAAATTTATAATTTTTAGTTTATATTTATCTTTACTAGAACTTCAAAAAACATTTTCTGAAGTCCCGCATTCGGCTGTAGTGTAGTTCACCGGAGGTAAAAGTTCGGGACGAGACATATGTCATTCGATTCGTCTCGGCGAGCTGAGTCGAAAGGTACCACTCCCAATTTCAGGAAATGATTCTGGACCGAGTTATAGGTCCCGAAAAATCGAAAAACCAAAGGAGGGAGTAAGCACTTTTTTGAGGTGAAAAATTCGAATATGCAAATTATAACTCATTCGAAAGAGCTCGTCGAGCTGAGTCGAATGCCACCAAAATCAACAAAATCAGACTTGATTGGACAAAGTTATGATCTTTTATTTTAGCTCCTTACCTATGGCATCTGTGGAGATTTTTGCTGCTACGGAGGCCCCAAATATGTCCAGAGCAAGGGAGATAGGAATAGGTTTATGTTACGAGCCCAGACCCAGCGCCCGTAGACTCCCCGCGAGGCGCGTGCCGCAAAACCCCGCGCAAAGCGCGGGGTTTTGCACAAGCGCCTCGCCGACGCTCCATAGGTTTAGTTTTTTGTTTTTTGTATCATAACTTTGTCTAATCTTGTTCAATCACGGTGATTTTGGTGTCATTCGACTCAGCTCGACGAGCTCTTTCGAATGAGGTATAATTTGCATATTCGAATTTTTCACCCCAAAAAAGTGCTTGGTCCCCCCTTTGGTTTTTCGATATTTCTGGACCTATAACTCGGTCCAGAATCATTTCCTGAAATTGGGAGTGGTACCGTTCGACTCAGCTCGTTGAGACGAATTGAATGACATATGTCTCGTCCCGAACTTTTACCTCCGGTGAACTACACTATATCCCCGCATTCATTTTGCCAGATGGGGTTACGACTGCTATCAGACGTTCAAAAGCAGCCATATCCTTTTAAAGATCCTAATATAATAATATAAATTAAACGTAAAAATATAAATTAATTTTAAATTTATATATAATTACATATAAAAATATTGTTATTAAATTCTATTATTGAACTTATGACATTATAACCCATCTAAACTTTTCTGTAATCTAAACAAAAAAATTTGAACAAAAAACACTTAGTCTAAGAGTTTTTATAGCAAAGTGTTTTTTGTAGCAAATTTGGAGAAGAATTGTTTCACAAAGTAACCATAGATTAAATTTAAAAGAGAAATAATTACAAAAATTAATTTTTTGTTCCTTAGTTAAATTAATTTGGATAAAATTTTTCTTATCTTATTTAAAAATTTTTATAGAACTTTAAACAAATTTTTATTTAAACAAATTTATTTAAACAAATTTAGTTAAATTTTATAGCTTATTGATTTGAATTAAATTTTATTAATTA